ATACAAAGGACATTTAAGCAAAAAAAAGAGACATTTCAAACATCAGATAAAGTTGTCTATGGAGCAACTTGATTCAGCCCAATGTGCGGCGGCGGTAATTGGAAACTGTCTCTAGTTTCAAGCACCTGCTACTTTGTTAGCCAGTTTTTCTCTTTGTATCAAGGCGCCATGAACGATCGATACGAGTTTAATTTCTTATTTATTTATTTCTTCTTTGTCTGTACATATTAATAAATAGTAATTACGACATTAGTTTATTTTTAAAATAAAATTACAATATACTAATCAATTTTACTAATTAAACAAAAAAATTTGGATATTCTTTATGATACCACGTTCAAAATATCTACTTATTGTCAATTCAAGACTAAGCAATCAATAAAAAATAAATATAATTAAGAACTATATTTTTTTTTTAAATCAGGAGTAGACAGCATAAGAAGCGTCCTTACTTACATCAAAGAATTTCTATTACACTGCTGACCATTATTTGGAATGAATAGCAGCTTCATTCATAACGTAAGAGTGGTACAAGGGTCCCACTTCCCAAGCCCGAAGACCGGTTCCTATCCGTTATAAACCATTAGAAGAATTTAATTCTCTTTTTTTTTAAGAACGATAAAATCTATGACCTGCAGATAATCATACGTGATTTTGTCAAATGAACTGAGACTGTCTCGAAGTTGATAATATTCCAAGTCAAACGCTCAATAAATCGACAAAGACATTTAGGGCCTGTCCCACTACAGGCTGCTCTATCAGCCAGCTCAGAGAACTTAAAAATAACGTCACTGTCAGTTAAGGGAACAAAATCCGAAATTTCCATCACATATTTTACACGTTGGATTGTTATCAGACAAGATTGTTACAATTTGGTGGGACAGGCCCTTAAGTAATTACATTCTATCCGTCAGCTATTTACAAATATAGTTAACAAAATACTTTATTGTTTGCATTTGTCTCTTCTTACTGTTATAGAACTACCGTTGCGGGTGGTGTGACATGTGGGGATGAGATAGATGTGGGTGAGAGTAGGGCTGTCCGAGGGAGCCGAGCGGTAAGGGTGAGGGACAGGGTGCGTGTTGATGGTATTGCTGCAGCGGCGATGGCGCGAGGCCGGGGTGCCCGTGGTGTTCTAGGGGATACTGCGCGGAGCCGGCGTACGCCAGTTGCCTCACCTTCATGTCCTCGTCAACCACGTTGTAGGTGAGCTCCGTCTCCTCGAAGCCGGTAGCGGCCATACGTTGCTCGCTGGTGGTGGGTGGGTCGGGGGAGTTGAGGCACGTCTGTATCAGTCGTTTTCCTGAGTCTGACGTGATCATGGGCTGTAGTTTGCGTGTCGCGAATGTGTACACATGCCCTGTTTCCGATGCAACTAGCAGCATCACCTGCGTCCCCGTCAACGTGGACAGCTCATATGCCTGTAAATAAACGAAACAAATGTTATTTATGAAGCAAGCTATACAAAGATTTTATCATATTTCATTAGTTTTTATGACATCATTAAAAACTAAAACACGAAAGCTTTTTGCGTGATGTCTTAATGTAACAACTCGAACTAATATAGAACTATAAAATTATCTAAAAATAAATGTATTTTGTATGTTGTACAAGGACATTACAATAACAAAATATAATATTTCCATGTTACAATAAACATTAATAAATCAATGATGTAACTTTAAATTCCAAGATGTAGCGAGCAATTTGACCCAAATAAACAGGTTTCAGTCGACAATTAGCATATAGCTCAGACTTGTCTACATTTAGACCGGACAGTTGTTTTTTCTCACAAGATCTAATCATATTTCGTCAAAGGTGAAGCCATTAAATAACGCGACAACGAGCTTCAAGCTTTAAAGGTACCGGTGTTGAATAAACAAGGCATTTAAAAACAGGAGTGTGAAAAGAAAGCAATGCAGGAAATTACATTTAGGCCAAAAAGCGCCCTTGCAACCTTTCACCTCTCCCACGCTCCTTAATTCGTAAGTAAACTGAAATGTTTGGTAGCGACAGTCTCACGGGTACAGTCCGTGTGTGCGCCTCGTATTATCACACCCACAAGCGCCACCTACACAATTTAAATCAATTTACATGTGTTCGTTAAACATTCAAAAGTCAACTCAAACTTTATAAAAATACGGACGATCCGGCGACAAACTAAGCGACGGGCAATTGACGAATTTGCGGCGAGATCTCACTGTTTGACATACAAATTATTGTTAAACGGAATGTAAACCTTACCGCGTAGGCAATACGTACGTAGGTGTTAGTGTTCGGGACTTTAGAAGTGACATTACGCGTATCCCTAGTTTAAATTTACTTAGTTACATAAGTAGCAAGTATACTTAGGCAACTTAATATTGCGGTAATCAATGTAAGCATAGCAGATTTTTTTATTAATTCACTTTGCTTCAGTGATTCTTATATCGTGAGAAATAATCGACATTTTGTACAATCTATGGCTAAAATTAATCTAAAAACTAACAATATCTAGTAACTTACGTCAAATTTAGAACTTTGTGTTCTATCCAAAAATCAATTTGTAATTTAATATAATGAAAAACTTGTTCCTCTACTTCGAGCCTGCAATTACTGTACTGCAAAAGTAGTGTACATTTGCAGTCTATCCCAAGCTCGAACAAAACCATACTCTACATTGGCCACAATTCGGTAATAAAAACGAAGAAATGACTCGAGTTGAAACTGCTGAAGGAAGCCTCGAGGTTAGTTACCCTAAAACGAGGTTTAGGCTAATTTCCATCACCGCACGGTTTTTTTTTCAAAAGGGTATGCTTTATGCATAGTACCGTGCCTCGGGGGAGCGTAGTAATGTGGGATTCTCCTCTTACGAGACATACCTGCTAAAATTTCCCTTTTATTCCTCCAACGCATGGGGGTAGGGTCACAGGCACGCTTATACTTTCGTCGTCTTCGGTGAGGCTATAAACACCTCTTCCAGTCATAATAAAAAACGAAACTGGCCCAATCCGCTAAAGTTGCCATAAACAAGAAACTGAATTAAAACATATACTACAATTCCATAGACGCGAACAATTATCAATCTACAAACATCGTAAGATTTATCAATGAATTATGACTTCAATTACAACGCCCCATTCACAAACTAAAGGTCGAAGATTCCGATAGTAAGCAATAATGATCTGTACCTTAATCTTGTAAGTACCCGATACCAAATGTCGACCGATCTATCAATCATAAAGAATTGCAACATAGAAAAAAACCAATCGGATTTTATCATGGCGGTTGTCAATTACGTTTAAGTTGGTTTTTCTATTACTGAGTACTATAAATCATATTATAATATCACGTTCATTCACAGATTTGAAAAAAATCTCATTCATACACAGGTCAATAAACAATAAATACCTTTTACGTAAAGTTGAATTATTTATTTGTGCATATAATCTTATATAGGCAATACGCAAAAGGTATACGTCCCTAATTTGTGTTTTGGAGTTCAGCGTGTATTTTAAATGTAATACAACAGGTGCTATATCAACTATGTAGTCATACTTAACAGAATAGCGTAAATATGTCTTTAAAACTATTATTATAACAACTATCGTAAGACACAGTGATGACTGAGATGACGTGATAGAGTTATGTGGAGGACAAAAACCTGTTGCGCCGACCCGACGGGAGTAGAATAAGGAGAAAGATGATGATATCGTAAGGCAGTTTTGCAGTTTTCGCTTTGTTTCATGTTTTTTTTACTAAATGAAAAACAGTCATTTACGTAAATTTCAACAAGACCCACTGTAGATTTTATCTATCGTAATATTTTCATGTTTTATGAACCGCAATATTATTAATGGTTTAATTATTTCCTTGCAAAATTTGAGTTTTAAACATACGACGTTTTACGTAATGTCATCGGATTAAAAAGAAAATGTCAAAAGAATCATTTTGTTCTTATACTCTTTAGACAAGCGTTATTAAAAAAGCTTGTTCGTTAACTTACAGTTCATAGGCTAAATGAAGATCAAATAAAACTCGTTACTTGCTTAACATACAAAAGTAATGAATTAAACGCAAAAACTCGTATAAAGTGTTTCTCGCACGACATTCTGTTCCTGTTAATTATTTTTCGGCTAATTGATTTGTTACTTAAAAACATTAATCACAAGGTCGCATTTCGCAGCGACATCACACCCTCCTAGCTTGTTACTACCAATAAGATGATTGATGATAAGACGCTAATTAGCAGTACTCCTCATACACCGACTCCAGTTCATCTGGGTCATTGGAAAATATTCTTTATTTATATCTGGTACAAGTTTCACAACCCCGCAATAAGGTGTCGAAACTGACGATTACAAATGCACCCTTAATGAGCTTTGTTAATATGATTAACGACTTGGCTGAAATGAGTCCTCTCTATAACATTGAATCGCATAACAGTTGATTAAAATTTCGGCAAATTGTTCCGCTGTACATAGACTGTGGCGTCAATATCTTTAAAAGGAATCTTATATTAAGTTATTAACGGCCTTAAAGGGGAAATTAATAATATAGTTAAAGGTCATTGGATGAGTTGTGTTAAGATGTCGACGCGTGCTGAAGGAAATTATACTCGTATCGATCGAGAGTAGAACTCACTTTGATGTACGCGTCGCTTACGTCATTAATATTGGGAACACCGATCGGAAGTGTACATCAAGTTAAGAAGCCTCGAGAACGTGTTAATTTGTGTCGAGTGCTGAGTACAAACCTATTGAATATAGAACCGAAGCTTCTCAAACTTTAAATTTCAATTTTAATAAATAGAGTGATGTCGAAACTGAACAAATCTTTTGGAACAAAATTTAAAGACCAGTCATTATACTAATATTATAAATGGAAAAGTATATATGGATGGATGTTTTTTAGAGTTTGTAGCCTAAACGGCTGAACGGATCTCGATGAAATTTTGCAAAGATGTAGAGCATAATCTGGAAGAACACATACTACTTGCGTTTGTTTTTTAATTCCACGCGAACGGAGTCGTGGGCGAAAGCTAATATGAACATAAATTCAAGGTCAAAGAAATTCAGCTACTATATTTTAAGTAAAAAACATTACGACGTTACAAAAGTTGAAGTTATTACATCAGTATCATATATTGTACGCCTTAACTCATTAAAACATGATATTTTTGTTTTATTACGGCAATTATCTCGTTTATTGTAAAAACATTTAAATGTCAATAAAAGCCCGCTGGCGTCTGTCCCCTTGTCCCCTGCACCCCCAACCCCGCCATGCACCAAAACTACCAACTCATCCGGCGACATAAGAGTGCAATTACATAAATACTTGTCCACTTTCGGACTTGAGATATTTTCGACGTTTCTTATTTAACTTAACGAGACTTTATTAACCATCTCACCGTAATCAATTTTTTTTTTAATTCTCTAAGTATTCTTGGAGCTTAAAAAAAACAAACTCTTATAAGAAAACAAACACTAAAATACAATCAAATTTAATGATGCATAAAAATTCAATTTAAACTTTTACAATATCTTAAGCAAACAGCATTTATAATTGACTAGCTTAAAACGCGTGGAATTATAAAAACAAAAGTAGCCTATGTGTTCTTCCAGGCTATCATCTGCGACAAATTGCATAGAGATCCGTTAACCTATTCTACAAACACTAACAAACATCCATCTAAACTTACACATTTATATTAGTAAGATTACTTCGAAACATTTTCATTATTATTTTTTCATTACAAAAACAAACTCAATTTTTATCGCTTTAAATGCCATCTAGTAAAATAAACTAGTATAATTAGGGCAATTACGCTAACATGATCACAACTAGACCTAACATTTTATTCAAGGCTACCGCGACCGTAATCTTTCATAGGAATTTGTCTTAGCAACTACGTGATAAGTGAGCATATAACTTGTCATCAACTTAACATCACCTGTCACGTCAATAAAATAAGTTAACACAAAACTAGGTTAACAGTTTTTAATACATCTAGCTTTAATTACTAATCTTACTAATCATAATTCATACTAATATTATAAATGCGAAAGTTTAGATGGATGGATGTTTGTTAGAGTTTGTAGCCTAAACGGCTGAACGGATTGCGATGAAATTTGGTATAGATGTAGATGATAGTCTGAAAGAACACATAGGCTACTCACTTTTAGTCATTTAAATTCCACGCGGACGAAGTCACGGGCGAAACCTAGTATTCTAAAAAGGAAAGATTTGGATTATTGGATTTTTGTATGTATTCGATTCACGTAAAAAGTACTGGGACAATTAAAAAAAATATATAGAAAGGTAAGGTGAGTAACATAGATATTTTTTTTTAATTTCACGTGGGCGAAATCGCGAGCAACAGCTACTAAATCAATAAGCTTAAAAGCAACCTGTTTACTACCGTGTATTCGCAAAATATCAA